AACAAGTATAAAGGATCTGATATGAGAAGATTAATAAATGGAAGAAAAATGAAAAAATAATGAGTAGAATAAAAAAAAGAAAAAAAAAAGAAAAAAAAACACCAAGTAAAAAAGAAAAGCCAAATTGGCAAGCCATAGAAGAAAGAAAAGAGAAAGTGAAAGAAAAAAAAACACATCAGAAAAGAAGTACAGAAAACAATTTTAGAGCTTGTCATGAAAGAGAGAAGACCCTTTTATTATAGACTTTAAGTAGTTAGATAAGTGCTTACTTCTGCTTAAAGTAATGCAGCAGGTTGCACTTAGGTATCATTAAGATGGTTGGATGATGCTGGGCTTAGTTGTTAGGGATATTTATGTAATTGCAAATATAATTTCAAAATCTTAATAAAGCACTAGTGTAACTGCTTAAGAAAAAAAAAAAATTTATAAAAAATTTCAGTATACATTCATAATAAAATCATTAAGTATAGAAAATTAAAAAATCAGAAAAATATAATCTTATTTGGAAATCTTTAAATAAAAAGATTTTTGACAATATTATCAAATTGATATAAAATTACAAATAATTTTAAAGAGACAAACAGATAAATTGAATAACAAATATATATAAATAAATATATAATTAATCAAATTATTAAAACTTATCAAAAAAAATATATATTTAATTGCATATTAAAAGTCTGATTACAGATCTTTTAGATTATCTGAATTTGTTAGTTTAAAGAAAATGTCTTGTTAGTTTTGAATAAAAAATTATTAAAAAAGATATTAGAAAAAAATAAATACTAAAATTTTAGTGAATTTTACAAAATTAATAAAACCAAATTAGTTATATATAGATTATAAAAAGCTCTAATAAGTTTCTTATTAAGAATAAAATAATTTTAAAAATATTAATAAGCATTAGAATTTTAAATAAATTTATCTTAAAAAATGTTTTGTAATACAAAATAAATTATATATACAAAGAGTTTAAGAGTAAGATCTTTAACTATATATAGATTATCAAAAAACATGTTTCTGGCTAGTTAAAATTAGTATAAAAAAAATGTAACAATAATAAAAAAATAACTAATTAATTAATTATTGATTAAAGAGTTTATGTACTTTCAAAGATGACTTATAAAATATTTAGCACTTGTTTTTTTATATAGTTAAATTTTATAAAAAGTTTTATAAAAAGTAAGTTTTAAATAAAAATGCACATTGTCCTTTAAAAGTGCACATTATCTCTCACAGTTTTATTAGTTTAAAATATTATTTCATTATATTTAATAATAAACTAATATGATTATTTTTCTAAAAGTTTACATAAAGCTTAAAATAATAATAAAGCCAAGCTTTAAAAGTTTTATTAAATAGCTTTTAATATTGTGAAATTTTTTTATATTTTATTTTTAGATCACTAATGCTAGAAATTTATAATTTAATAAAGTTGCAATTTGTGAATTAAATGTTTTTTAGAAGCAGATCATTAGTATTGCAAGTATTCAAGAACTGGATGTTTTATTTTTATATAAAAAAACCTAAGTTTTTTACAAATTTTATTACAACATTCAATACTTTTAAGTGAAATAGATAAAAATAATGTTTATTCATTACTTAAAATAACAGAATTAAATTCTAATAGCAAAGTTTTTGTTCCTTTAATTCCAGGATATTGCATATATACAAAACTAGAAAAAACATATTTTAAATTAGCCTTGAAATGGTCAGATCAAGATAATCAAATAATGTATAGATGAACTGAATATGCAAATAATTCAACTTTTATAAATATTCAATATTTATATATATCTTATGATGGTTTAGCTAGCTTATAGTTATATGTTAGTAATAATTTACAAATTAAATACTCTGAAACATTTTCAGCACTATTTTTATTTAGATTGACATATGCAAAAAATGTTCAATAGCTTTGAGAATTTATTTTTCAACATATTTCTATTTTATTTCAAGCTGAAAATAATATGTTTAGTGCTCAACTTCAACAGGATAAAATACTTTAACAAGCAAAACAAAAAGCTAATAAACTAGAAGAAAATTTATACTTTAATGATCCTTATAATAATAGAATTATTAAAAATGAATTACTTATTAAAAAAAGCAGATAGTCTAGTTCAAGTAAAATAATATAAGCCCTTAGTATTAAATTGAAAGAATTACAAGATAATAATTATAAAACAAAAAACCAATTAAAGAATATTAAAAAACAGTTATGTTGATTATTAAATACTATTTGTTAATAAAAACTTAATTGAAAATAGAATCAAATTTATTAAGATATGATATTTATTTTTATTTATTAATTTATTTATTTTAAAAATTACTATTTTATATAATATTTTTTTAGTGATAAAAAAATAATGAAACTGAACTAAGTGATAATGAATTTTCAAGTTCTAAAATCAAACTATTCAAAAGCTTATTAAAAAAGGATAATTAGGATCTACTATTTTTGTTAATACTGATGTACTTTTAAATTTAGTTTTGAATTAGCTATGTTTTTTATATTATGATATAAATTCTAAAAATTAAAAAGCTCAAATCAAAGTTAATGGGTTACAAATTCAAATTACTCTTACTTGTTCTTTATGTTTAAGTAAAACTGAATATTATAATAAAAGAAAAGAAGATAATTTTTCAAAAGATATAGCTGGTGCTGGCTTAATCAGAGAAGTAACAGAGAAGAATTACAATTAATATTAGCTTTATTAGGAGTTACAAAACAAAATAGACATCAATAATACTTTAATATGCAAACAGAATTTTTTCAGAAATTATATCAAATTGCAAATAAAAGTGTTGAAAACTTATTAATATTGGCATATGAATACCTTCAAATAACAATCAGAATATATTAAAAGTATCATTTGATTATGCTTAGAGTCACATATGTAAAGCTTTATAGGCTAGCAGAGAGTTTAATTTTAATGAAAAATTAGAAAGTAATTATAAAAATTAAAAAAAAAAAACAAAAAAAAATTAATATCAAATATTTTTCTTCCAATTAGGTTATCAGCCAATTCTTGCATATCATGTAGTAGAAAAAAATGAGAATATTATACTAAAAATAGAAGAACTGTTATAATTCAAGAAGGCAATTATAATAGTAGTTTACATCAAATAAAACATGCTATACTAATTGCTATTGTTAAAAAAATTACATCAGTATTAAAAAAAATATAATATTAAATTAAATGTTGAAGTTGATAAAGACCTTTTGACTAATAAAACTTTAATCTTATTGAATATAGTTAATCAAATATTTATGAATTTAATACATAAAACTAAAACTATACAATTAAAAATAAGTATTATAAAAATTAGTTTAAGTTTTAAACAATTAAAAAAAAAGTTAACAAATTTTATATTTAGAATTAGATCATAATTAGAAAATTTTTGAACAACTAATAATGAGTTTTTATACAAAATGTGTTTATGCAGTATTTAGTAGAGCTAATAATCCTAAAGTTTCAATACCAACTGATAAAAAACTTATATAAATGCATACTGAAGGCTTAATTTGCCATTTGTAAGAAAATTATAATAAGTGTTAGGCTAAAGTTTGTTAAATTGTTAAGAATTCTAATTTAAACTTATCAACTTCAAATTTAATTGATGCTGATAAAAATCAATGTATGTGGCTTTTAAAATTTTTAAAAAAAATTACAAAACTTAAAAAAAATCAAAGCTTAATAATAACAATATATACTAGTTATAATGAAACATTTAATTATTTAAAGTTAAATTATATAGAAAAAAAAACAGATTATTCAAAGTCATTTCAGGCTTGACATGCACTTTTAATAATTCATAATAATAAAGGCATTGCAAAACTTTAAAATGAAATTCATGTAGTAGGAAATTTAGTTAGCTTTTTAGATTAAGACAAAAAAAATTTATTAAGTATTTGAAAATATAAAAATTGAAGAAAAAAAGCTAATATTTTAGCAATCCAAATATGTAACAAGAAAAGAGCAGAAAAAATAATCAATAAAAAGAATTAATTAGAAAGTTTTAATTTTTCACAAGTAAATTTTATAGTATATATTAGTAACTAAATCTAATTTACAAGTTTTATTGCAATTATAAAGAATTTAATTCTATATAGCTTACAAGTTTAAAAAGAACTTATCAACAGTAAATTTGAACCATTGTTTGCCCTACTAGTATCTGCATTCAAATTATCATTTCTTAAATGCATGGCTTGTTAATCTTTTTAAAAAAAATTTGTAAATGGGCTGTGTGCAATATATAGTTATTTGTTGAAACACAATTTATCTAGTTATATACCTAATGTGCAATATTAGCAATCAATTTCTGAGTCAAGTTTGGAATCTAATATTATCAACAGCATTATTATTAAATTTTTTGAGTTTAAAAAATCATATAAAAAACAATGAGAAAGTATTTTATCTTTTTTATCAGGCCATAATATATTAACTATACTAAAAACAAATAGTGGTAAGAGTTTAATATATGCAGTTACAAGTGTGCTGCATCAAGGATTAACTATAGTATTTATACTACAAAAGGCACTAATAAATGATCAGATGATAGATCACAATTTATTTTTTAAAAATAAATAAAAATAATTGCTTACTGATATTTAATTTGCAAAGTAAGAAATAATAAAAATAGGAATACCTGCAGCAATGCTATATGCTTCTTCAAAGCAACTACCTCTAGTGCAAGAAAAAAATTTTGCTAAGATTGCAAGTAGATTAATTTATATACTGTTTATCATACCAGAAAAATATACAGAAAATTCAAAATTTCATACTATATTGTCAAAATGTTTATAATATATAAGGTCCCTAATTTGTTATAGATAAAGCATACTGTATAGTTTTATATAAGGAATTTTGGTAGCTTATTTTAATCAAAAAACAATCTATATTTATATTATAAATTTTAAATATTTAAAAAAAAAGAAACACATAGAAAAATTTGAATATTTTAGGCATGACTTTTTTGCAGTTTCTGTATTTGCCTTGATGACCACATGTTCATTTGTTATTGCAAAAACTATTCAATCAATTTTAGAAAGACCAGATATAGAAATAATTAAAACTTCATCTATTCAATGTTCTGAGATTACATTAGAGATTAGACCCAAATCAGCCACTAAAGATAAACTTTACCAGGCTATATTTAATTTGTTAGATAATCTTGAGAGATATGCTATCATTTATAGGGCCACAGTAAAAAAATATAATAACATAACAAAGGTGCTTTATAAAAATTTTGATCTTACAATTGTTGGAATATATCATAAAAAACTAGCAAATGCTGAACAAGCTGCTATATCTGCAGGATAGAAAAAAAGAAACTATTAGAATTATGTCTGCAACTACTGTATTTGGTATGAGTATTAATATTAATGATGTTACCTTAGTTGTTCACACAACTTTACTAGTATTATATGAACAATATAAGGTGTCTTGTATAAAAAGGGACCATTTTTACATATAAACAATTTTGAATAAATCAGATTTAAAAACTGTGGCTTATCACGTGATCATCCAAAATTATGATCTAAAAATAATATTAGAAAATTCCATACAATGATTTTTTGTTAATGATTCTTGTCTTAAATCTAGCACTAGTGGGTTATGATTCAACAATTATTTTCTTTATTCAGTTTTTCCAGATTTTATTAATTAATTTTTTGTCTTCAGATCTTATAGTAAAATTTCTTGTGGTCTTCCCTGGTCTTCTAACTTTTCTGGTAATTTAATTATGTTATTCATTTTTATTCTGTTCTTTTAAATTTTACTAATTAATTTTCTTTGTCTTCAGGCCTTTCAGTGATTTTCTTGTAAAATTTCTTGTGGTCTCTTCTAGTTTTCTGGCTTTCTAGTAATTTTAATTGTGTTGTTAGGTTTTTTCTGTTTTTCCAGATTTTACTAATTAATTTTCTGTCTTCAGGTCTTTCATCGATTTCTGGTAAAATTTCTTGTAATCTCTCCTGGTCTCTAGCTTTCTGGTAATTTTAATTGTGTTAGATTTTTTTTTTGTTCAGGATTTTACTAATTAATTTTATGTTTTCAGGTCTTTTAATTTTCTGGTAAAATTTCTTGTGGTCTTCTTTGGTCTTTTGGCTTTCTGTAATTTTAATTGTATTGTTAAGTTTCTTCTGTTCTTCTGGATTTTACTAATTAATTTTCTTTTCTTTAGGTCTTTCGATGATTCTGATGAAATTTTTTGTGGTCTTTTGGCTTTTATGATAATTGTAATTGTTTTTTTTTTTACTGTTTTTTTGGATTTTACTAATTAGTTTTTTTTTCTTTAGGTCTTTCGATGATTTTCTGATGAAATTTCTTGTGGTTTTTCAGCTTTCTGGTAATTTTAATTGTGTTATTGGGTTTTTTCTGTTCTTCTAAAATTACTAATTAATTTTCTTTATCTTTATGTCTTTTAGTGATTTTTTTGTAAAATTTCTTGTAGTCTTCCTGGTCTTTTGGTTTTCTGGTAATTTTAATTGTATTGTTGAGTTTTTTCTGTTTTTCTGGTTTTTACTAATTAATTTTCTTTTCTTTAGGTCCTTCAACGATTCTGGTAAAATTTCTTGTAGTCTTCTAGCTTTTATGATAATTGTAATTGTTTTTTTTTTCTGTTTTTCTGGATTTTACTAATTAGTTTTCTTTTCTTTAGGTCTTTCGATGATTTTTTGGTGAAATTTCTTGTGATCTTTTTGGTAATTTAATTGTATTATTGGGTTTTTTCTGTTCTTCCAGAATTACTAATTAATTTTTTTTGTCTTCACGTCTTTCAATAATTTTTTTGTGAAATTTCTTGTAGTCTTCCTGGTATTCTGGCTTTCTGGTAATTTTAATTGTATTGTTGAGTTTTTTTTGTTCTTCTGGATTTTACTAATTAATTTTCTTTGTCTTTAGGTCTTTTGTCGATTTCTGATAAAATTTCTTGTAGTCTTCCCTGGTCTTTCAGCTTTTTGGTAATTTTAGTTATATTAGGTTTTTTCTGTTCTTTTAGATTTTACTAATTAATTTTCTGTCTTTAGGTCTTTTAGCAATTTTCTGGTAAAATTTCTTATAATCTCTTCTGAACTTCTGGCTTTTTGGTAATCTTAATTGTGTTGTTTGGTTTTTTTCTGTTCTTTTGGATTTTATTAATTAATTTTCTGTCTTCAGGTCTTTTAGCGATTTTCTGATAAAATTTCTTGTGGTCTCCTTTGATATTTCTGCTTTCTGGTAATTTTAATTGTTATTGTTGAGGTTTTTTCTGTTCTTTTAGATTTTACTAATTAGTTTTCTTTTTTTTAGGTCTTTTGACAATTCTGGTGAAATTTTTTGTGATCTCCCTGGTCTTTCAGCTTTTCTGATAATTGTAATTGTATTGCTGAGTCTTGTTTCTGTTCTTCCAGGTTTTACTAATTAAATTTTCTTTGTTTTCAGGTTTTTCAATGATTTCTTGTGAGATTTTTTATAGTCTCTTCCGAACTTCCAGCTTTTCTGATAATTTTCTTTCGATGACTTTTGGTAAAATTTCTTGTAATCTTCTAGTCTTCTGGTTTTTCAGATAATTTTGTGTTATTGGGGTTTTTTTCTGTTCTTTCAGATTTTACTAATTAATTTGTATTTCAATAATTTTCTGATAAAATTTCTTGTGGTCTTTCTGGCCTTCTGGTTTTTCTGATTTTTCTAGTCTTTTAGCATTTTACTAATGTGCTCTTTAAGTTTTCTTGAATTTGGATTGTTTTTGAATCTTTTGGTATTTTATTAGTAAATTTTTTTGTAGTTTTTGGATCTAAAGGATTACAAAAAGTTTCTTTAGTAAATGTTAAAAATGATCTTTAGTCAACATTTTACTGTTGAATTTTATAAGTTTTTTTAGAAATTTTGGTATTTATTGAAAGATTTTTTATAGTTTTTAGTTTTATTAATAAAATTTTTTTAATTATGTTTTTTTTTTTATTTTTATATTATGATTTTAAAGTTTATATTGTATGATTAGTTAAGTAGTTGTTATGAAATAATTTTTAAAAACTTAATAAATTAATATTTAGTTTATTTAGAAAATATAAAAGATTTTTATTAAAAAATTGTATATAAAAATAAAAAAAATATATATATAAAATATATATTTTATTTAGATTTTACTGGTTTAATTATAGTAGGTATTGGACAAAGATCATCTTTTTTATTAGGATTTTTTATATGATTTCTTATTTGTTCATATAAATACCATTGTTGTTCTGCACTTAAATCTGATAATTTTTTTCCAATTAATTGATTTAGATTATCTGATTTAGTTTTTTTAATTTGTATTGTAGTTTTTTTTTCATATAATGATATGCTAATTTTAATATTTCCTTGATATGAATTATTAAATTCAAAATAATGTTGTTTTAAAATATTTGAAATTGTTGTAAATTGTTGTTTTAATCAATTTGTCTATTCATAAAAATGTACTAATTGATTTTTATTATTATCAAAATTTGTTTGTGCAATATTATATCTATTAGGAATTGAATTTTGAACTATTTTAACTAAATCTTCAAGATTGTCTACTTCAGATTTCTGTAAAAGTAATTTTATAAGTTCA